TTTTAGCCTGTCTGGCACGTGGCTTATTAAAGAAGGTAATTGCATTTGAAAAGGAAAGACGTTTCCTGGATCCGCTTGGAAGAAGGGAGTGAAGTTAGAGCGTCCTTTCCGCCACAGACCCCTCTGTCCTTGAGACTTTCGGAGAACCTCCCTGACTGGAGTCCGTTTCTGCGTCTTTTCCCTCCTCCTTTTGCTGCCCAAGTTTTCTCGCTCAGAATGTTAAAGATCAGCAAAACACCAGAAATTAGAGACGCTGAGAGTTGACTGGACAACAAACAACTTTGCTTTCCTTTTGCTGGCTTTGGAGATATATTAACATCGAATCTTAAGGCGGTAGCTTTTTAGGAGTGAAAGTATTTTGGCTGGGATGTGTTACTCGCCGACCTTGCTACCCCGTCCATTGCCTGCCCTCGCTCTTCAGTGTCACTTGTTTTTGCCACAAGGTATACAAAAGAGGGGGGGTGGTAACATCTATCACACTGAAGCCCATTTCCCTCCAGCCCACCCCCACCCCCGACGTCTAGCTAAGCCGCTTGTGTCTTGGAAATCAAAGGACGTCATTTTTCCAGGCAAACCTGTGAGCACAATAAAAATCTGCAGGTGTGTTCGGGTCTACGGATACTGATGTGCGTAAACACTCCAGCTCCACCGAGAAGAATAAAGGTCATGGCCCCCCACCCCCGAAGTGCCAGTCATTAGCTCGCTCAATAGAAGTCCGGGTGTTTCTTTATTATGCGGCGCAGCGCAAAGACAGCCCGAGCCTCCCCGATCGGGAGAACAGCCTTTATTACACAGGCGCCGAGGGTCAATTACACAGGGCCGAGCCTTCCGTGGCAGGCTGCGCCCCAGCGCCCGCCTTGCCTATTGCTGCGCGAGCCTGGCTGGAGCGCCCCAGCTGCGGCGAATACGCCAGTCTGGCAGGCCTCAGTTGCTGTCCCCAGATGCCCGCCTGAGGCCGGCCTGCTTCTCTGGATCGCCTCTTCGAAAAGGGGTTGTCACCGAACACGATGAATGTTTGACTGGGGCCGGGCTGCCGAAAGGACCGTGGCCAGGCCTGCAAAGCGGATCTGCGGATCTTGCCACACAGGCTGTGTTCTGGACGGCCCAACAGCTGCTCCTGATACATAGCCTGCACCCTGTCAGGATGTCGAGGAGGAGGCTCGGGCCCCGATGGGAAAGAAGCCCCCAGGAGAGGCTAGTGGTTTTGCTGGAACTTAGGCCCAAAGACCTGATTACATTTACTCGAAGGTAAGCCCCGCTGAATTCTATGCGGGCTTCTTCCTAAGTGAATGTACACAGGGCGGCAGCCTTAGGATCGCTGGATCCGTTGGAGGGATCGACCGTTTTCCGACCCCAGGACCGCCTTTGAATATGATTTCCGTTCTGTCCCCTGCAAGAAAACTTCTGCGGGGTTGCAAGGTTTAGATTTTGCGGGGTGAGGAAAAGCCTGGCTGCGGGTGACTCCCGCCCTCTAACCTTTCCCTCCCGGCCCTAAAGGCTCTGCTCGAGGGCCGGGCCCGCCGATTTAGCGGAACCAGACGTCTCCGGTCCAAGGCGTGCCCACCAGGACCAGCAGCGAGCCGCTTAGACTGTTGTCGCTTTTTCAGGCCGCCGGCGGGAAGGGAGCGCAAAGGGGCCAGGCCTCGTTCTCCGCCGCCGGCGCGCTGATCAAAGGGCAACGGACTCCGTTCCCCGCAAACCGGGTCACGCATCCCGCGCGCCCTTCCCGAGCAGGGCCCACGCGTGGCTCCGCTTGTCATTCCGGGCGCCGATCGGAGCCCGGCAGCAGGTGAAAAAGCAGGGGGGAGGGAGAGCCCCCCCCACACACACACACACCAAGGTGGCCGGTGGTCAGCTGCTAACCGGATTCTGGCCGGGAAGCAAGAACGCCTGGATCCCGAGCTGACAACTCACACACACACACACACACCCGCAATAATGGGGCTAATTTCGGATCCGGGAGCGCGCAGAGCCTTGGAGGCCTATTAGGCAGCCTTCCCCCGAGCTGGAACCAGTGGATCCCAGAGAGACCTGCTGCTGTGTCAAGCACCAGGCTCACATGATTGTAAGTTCCCACAACAACAACAACAACAACAACAACAACGTGCATTTAGGGCTCCCAAGTGTTCCTCCCCGCCATGAAGCCACGCAATTCGGGCGTTCATTTGAAACGGTTCCTTCCTGTTTCTGATCGCTTCGGGGTTGTTGTGTTGTTGTTTTTTGTTGGGGGGGGGAGGAATGGCTGTGCAGCGAAGGCTTCAGCTGCGAGCCCCACTGAACCGGGGCGGCAGGCAAAGAAGGAGCGGCGGCCTTCTTTCGAAACCAAAGCATCCGGGAGTGCAGGCCCGTGCTTACTCGGAAGTAAATCTCACGGAATTCAATGGGACTCCCCCACGCGAGGCACTTGGGGGAGAGGGGACAGCCGTCACGTGAAATCTAGTCTCACTTGAAGCTGGGGGGGTGGCAGGGGAGAGATGATACGGTTTCCCGAAGGGACCAACACGCACACTCTTCTCGCCTTCTGCTCTGCCCCTCCCCTCCCCTTCCCTCCCCTCCCTATTCCCAGTGACAGATTCGCAGTACTGGAAGCTCCACTTCAACAGAGGCCCGCATTTGGGGGGCTGGGCACGGTCCTCCTTGGGCAGCGAAATCTCTGGGACTGGCCTCGCAGCTCAGTCTCAGTAGGGGAGGGCCAGTCCTGTGAAAACAATCTTCGTTTAAATGCAAATAGTGATGGGTATTATTAATCAGTGTCAGTGAAATGTGGGCACCTGTAAGGGGACCCGGGGGGGGGGGGGGGGGGGGGGAGGCTCTGGCTGCAAACTACTCCGGCGGACGTTTTAAAACAAAAGCAAACCACAACTGGACCAGCCCTCCCCGAGCACCCCTCGAGGCTGGAAAGCGAACACGAACCTCCGGACAAAGGCGACGCGGCTGACCTGTCTTTTGAAAACTGACCCACCAGACTCAAGGCAATGGCAACCCTCCGGCTGAACTGAACACAGCAGAATCCCCCCCCCCCACAACACACACACATACGCACGCACATGTCGAAGGAGAACTTCACAGACCCACACAGCAGCAGAGGGCTCTGCCTGCCCCCCCCCCACGAAAAAACTCCGACGCCTGAAACCCGGCCGTGCCCTGCCCCCCCACCCGCCGAGTCTCCCAGACCGAAATCAACATCTCTCGATCAGGAGAAAAGAACCGCGCATCCTCCCCGGCCGAGGGAAGACGGATAGGAATTGCCCGGCCTTTCAATTTGTGACTCAGTTTTCGACCGGACTGCGCCCTTGGTTAAATATTCAATAAACATTTCATAGGCCTCTTATAAGGTTTGCGCGCTCCTTAATCAATCAAAAGAGTCTCCAAGCCCTCCCAATTCGTTAGCCAGCAATATAAAGAAATCTTTAATTTACCCCTCCCTCCCTTTGTCTTCTTCAGATAATTTTTAAAAAATCGACATGGAAGCCGGCATTCTTCCAACAATGAATACCACAAATAACAAACCCTCCCCAAATAGCTCATTGGTAATATCTGATTTATTTAAAGTTCTTTAACTGCAAATGATCTAGAGAAAAAGGGCCTAATTCAAGGCTGATATTGTCAATTGCATATGTTTTTAAAAAATCAAAACGCTTTCTCCATTACAATCACATTTATTATAAAATTAACATTTAAATTTTTTTCTTTAAAATGGTATGTCATTTTAAAACCGTCATTTAAAGCAATTTCAAGCTGAAAAGAAAGAAAAAGTATAAACCATGCGAATAAATTAAGAACAATGAGAAAGCCAACAGAAGAAATAAAAGAAATAAAAATAAAACTCGAAACAAAACAGAAAAAAAAAACCACCCGTCTGGCTATGCTAAAAACATCGTGTAAAACAGTGGAAAGTGCATTAACACTGGATGAACGTGCTAACAACGGCAATAATTAAGCGGCCACAACAAATCCGGGGAGGGGGTGGGGTGGGGTGGGTCGGGGAGGGGGCAACCATT